GATTAAAGGCGTGCGCCACCACCACCCGGCTAAGACACTTTTTTTTTAATATTTATTTTATTATGTATACAATATTCTGTCTCTGTGTATGCCTGCTGGCCAGAAGAGGGCACCAGACCCCGTTACAGATGGTTGTGAGCCACCATGTGGTTGCTGGGAATTGAACTCAGGACCTTTGGAAGAGCAGGCAATGCTCTTAACCTCTGAGCCATCTCTCCAGCCCCCGACACTTTCTATGTAGCTTTGGCTGTGCTGGAGCTCACTTTGGACCAGGCTGGTCTTGAACTTAAAGAGATCAGCTTGCCTCTGCCTCCTGAATCCTGGGATTAAAGGCCTGCACCACCACCATCTGGCTTACATTTGAGTTTTGAAAAGACCCAGCCTTTGCCACTTAGAAGTGGTTAGCACAGACAACTGTGGCAAGGGGAGATTTATTAGGCATGCAGTGTAGTGTTTGCCTCTGCTAACTTCCAGAGATCCCAACCCTGGCAGATCTAGTTATGCTAGAATGCTAATCACTCATTAATGAAGCCTTAAATGAGGTCATTATAACTTACGCATCTCTTACAAAAGGCAGTCTAAATATTAATTAAGGTTTTCATCTTAATGTTGTAAGACTAGGATATTTGTAAGTAATAGGAAGATTATTGGGTATTGAAAATTGTTTTTGTTGATTAGTAATCACATTTATTTCTCTTAATTCCCAAAATAGCAAGTCTACAACTACAGCTTCATGTCAGTCAAAAAGAAAGCAAAAGGAAATGTGTGGAAACAGGAAATCAAAAGTCAAAAAGAAAGAAACCAAATGAACATTCATTGAGCCCAGAAAAGATACAGAAGTCAGAAGATCTTGACAAAAGGATCAGCTCTTCTGGGATAAATCTAGATTCTTCCAAAGGTATATTTCTAAATATCTCAGGGAAGAAGTGAATTGCTTTAAGAACATGTAAAACCGGGGGCTGGAGAGAAGGCTCAGCGGTTAAGAGCATTGCCTGCTCTTCCAAAGGTCCTGAGTTCAATTCCTAGCAACCACATGGTGGCTCACAACCATCTGTAATGTGGTCTGGTGCCCTCTTCTGGCCTGCAAGCAGAGGCATACAAAATAAACAAACAAACAAACAAATAAATAAATATTTAAAAATGTTTAAGGAAAAAAAACATGTAAAATCAAGACAGAAACAGTAGAAGATAATGATATTCTGATAGTAGATGATGACAGAGTCAGTAGTAGCAGAAATACTCTCCTGACAAATTGGATCCCCCCCCCATCTTTGAACACCTGATTTTTAACCTCTCAATGTTGCCCCATTTTGAGACAGTCTAATGTAGCCCAGGCTAATTTCAAACAAAGATTACCTTAAGCTTCCTGCCTCAACCTACCAAGTGTCAGGATTTTAAGCATGCCATATTTAGGCATATTTCTGGGGACTGAACCCAGGCTTTAGTGCATGCTAGGCATATATTGTATCTAACTAAGCCACACTGTGAACCCATAACCTGTCATTCTCCCCATTTTTAAACAATTTAAACACCTTCTGATGGCCTTGAACTTACTCTTCTGTCTCAGCCTCTCAAACAACTGTTAGCTGACACGGAAGCATATTCGCATCTTGGTGTTTAATTTATGGTTTCAGTTCCTCTATAAATATATGTGCTTTTTTGTTTTTATACAGAAGGTCCTGCTGTGTATCCCTGACTGGCCTTGAACTCATGAGTATTCATGAGATTGTTGGCATCCACCACACTTTCCTTCTACTTAGGGTCTGTTTTTTTTAAGCCAGAGATCAGCCAGAACTGGTAATGCAGGCCAGTGATCCAAGGTACTTAGGAACCGAGTCAGAAGGATTACAGGTTTAAAGTCTCACCTGTGCTATAGCGTTGAGTTGAAGGCCAGCCTGAGAAACATGGTGGGAACTGTTTCTGAGGCTATGGCACAGTGATAGGTCAGTCCCCAGACCTATGGAAGGAAATGAAGGAAGGAAGGGAGGGAGGGAGGGATACTTTTGTTTCCTGTAATCATACTATTTATATTGTTTTTCAGTATATTTTGCCTTTCTACACATTCCTATTCAGCATATATGTATACACACACACACACACACACGTCCACACATCTTGTGCAAAATACTCTATTGAGTTAATTTTTTTGTTGTTATTTTTTGTTTCTTAATTTTTTTGTTTGTTTTTTATTTTTCAAAACAGGGTTTCTCTGTGTAACCTTGGCTGTCCTGGAACTCACTCTATAGACCAGGCTTGGCCTCAAACTCACAGACATCCATCTGTCTCTGCCTCTCTATGAGTGTTTGTATTAAAAGGCGTGCGCCACATCGCCTAGTTTTTTTGGTGGTGTTTTTGTTTTGAGAAAGGGTTTCTCAGTAGCTATGTAGCCAGTCCTGGAACTTGCTCTGTGGACCAGGCTGGCCTTGAACTCTTGGAGATCCACCTGCCTCTAACTCCCAAGGGCTGAGATTAAAAGTCACCACCTGGCTCATTTTTTCTTTATTGAGACAGGGTTTTTGTCTGTATTGGCTGTCCTGGAACTCACTCTGAAGGCAAGGCTGTCCTCAAATTCATAGATCCTTTTGCCTCTGCCTTCTGAGTGTTGGGATTAAAGACATATACTACCACACTAGATTCTATTGTGTTGATTTAATTCATCTATTTTTTTTACATTTTTTTAATTAAAAATTTCTGCCTCCCCGTCTCCCTTTTCCCTCTCCCTCCCTCCCACTCCTCACCCCCCCATCCCCTCCCCCTCCCTCTCCAGTCCAAAGAGCAGTCAGGGTTCCCTGCCCTGTGGGAAGTCCAAGGTCCTCCCCCCTCCATCCAGGTCTAGGAAGGTGAACATCCAAACAGACTAGGCTTCCACAAAGCCAGTACATGCAATAGGATCAAAACCCAGTGCCATTGTCCTTGGCTTCTCATCAGCCCTCATTGTCCGCCATGTTCAGAGAGTCCAGTTTTATCCCATGCTTTTTCAGTCCCAGTCCAGCTGGCCTTGGTGAGCTCCCGTTAGATCAGCCCCACCATCTCAGTGGGGCTGAGCTCATCTATTTTATATACAATTTATGGAATGTTTTAATATTTGATATGGCATGTCACCTACCATTTTATTAAAAGAAATTATTATTATTACTTTTTTTTTTCGAGGCAGGGCTTCTCTATAGCTTTTGGAGCCTGTCCTGGAACTAGCTCTTGTAGACCAGCCTGACCTCGAACTCCCAAAGATCCACGCCTGCTTCTGCCTCCTGAGTGCTGGGATTAAAGGCGTGCGCCACCACCACCTGGCAAAATTCTTATTTTATTTTATGTGCATGGGTGTTTTTCCTGCATGTATATCTGTACACCACATGTGTAGATGGTGCTTGCAAAGGCCAGAAGAGGGCATTGGATCTCCCGGAACTGGAGTTTAGACAGTTGTGAACCATCATGTGGATGTGAGAAGAACCTTGGATCCTCTGGAAGAGCAGCCAGTGCTCTAAGCGTCCAGAGAGTCCAGCCCTATCACCTACCATGAGGGATATTTTTATGAATTGACTTTTTTAAGTATCCTATAAATTTTCTCACCTTTATAAATCCCATTGAGATTTTGAGTTTTCATTGGTTGGCATATTGGTTTGGTGAGAATTGCCATCTTGGGAATCTTCTGTTAGAAGTGTAGTCTTTGTCTCTTTATTCAGATTGGCTTCATAGATCAGAGACTGCTTTTGTTCTTTAGCTAGCTTACTGGTTTCTGTACTACACGCTATTCTTAATCGTTCATATTATCAAATATGGTAATTTAAAATGTAGTTATTAAAGGTTGTGATGCACATACATTACTCTGTTTTTTAATTGTCTTCTAATTTATTTATTTGAGACAGGGTCTCATTTTGTAGTATGGGCTGGCCTGGAATTCACTATGTAGACAAGATTAGTCTCGTATTTGGAGATCTACATGCCTCTGCCTCACGATTGCTGAGATTAAAGGTGTGCAGTTGGTTATTTTGTGTGTGCATGTGTTTTGTTTTAAGGTGATTGAGTTTGGTATGACAAATTTTAAATGTAATGTTTAAAAAATTCATTTTTGCATCTTATAAATAAAGTTATTTCTATAGATGTTTTTATTACACTTGTAATAAAATAAATATCTAAGAATGTTTTCTTATGTCAAAGAATGAATAATGCCTATGTGTACTTATTCTTGCTCTAGATTCTGGAACTGAAGACATGCTTTGGACAGAAAAGTACCAGCCTCAGACTTCGAGTGAACTCATAGGCAATGAGTTAGCTATCAAAAAGTTATATAGGTTGGTAAAATTTGTAAAGGAATTAAGAAATAGTTTATTGATGTATTTTTGCTATTTAGACTAAAATTTGAAAACTACAAAGTAATTATATTATATGGAAAAGTCTTTTTTTGAAATAATTTCAAGTAAAAAGTTTCTCTTTGGCTTGATGGTGTACTAGGGCAGCACTAGAGAAGCAGAGGCAGGTAGATACCTGTGAGTTCAAGCCCAGTCCGTCTACAGATTGTGTTCCAGGACAGCTAAGGTTGTTTTGAAAAACCCTGTTTCCAAAAAAAAAAAAAAAGTTCTTCTTTTTATTTCTGTTACCACTATTGAAACTATCGCATTAAACTTTTCAGACAAATTTATATTTGCTGGTCATGATTTTGACACCTGTAATCCCAGCAGTCTAGAGATGGATGCAAGAGGACCATTAAATGCCAGTTTGAACTACATAGCAAGTTTTAGGTTTCTTGGATTACATGATACTCTTATTTTTTAAAAAAAAAATCATAGGTACATATTAAGTTATATACATTTTTGTTTGTTTTTTGAGACAATTATACATTTTGTTTGTTTTTGTTTTCTTTGTGTAGCCTTGGCTGTCCTAGAACTAGCTCTGTAGACCAGACTGGCCTCCAGCTCACAGAGATCCATCTGCTTCTGCCTCACTAGTACTGGGAATAAAGGCGTGTGCCACCACCACCCAGCAATTCTTGCTTTCTAACCAGCAGGGTTGTGTTACTATTAATTCAGGTCTGCAGTTCCAAAGCTAAAATTGACTGGCTTTGTAAGGTTCATTATAGTGTGTCTTTAGTGGTCATTCTTAGGATTTCAAATTACCTTTCCAAAAGCTGGGCATAGTGGTATGCGTCTTTAATCCCAACAATTGGGAGGCAGGTGGATCTCCTGTAAATGCTAGGAAAGTCTGGTCTAAACAGTGAGTTCCAGTATAGCCAGAGCTATATAATGTCTCCAAAACAAAATTGCCTTTCCAGAGCCTGGCATCATCGGGTGTACTCCTGTAATCCTAGTATATGGGAGGCTGAGGAAAGAGAATTATTTTGAGTTCAAGGTCAATAACATAGCCAGAGTCTGTCTCAAAAAAATAAACCTCTAGGGATCATCATGATGACTCAGTGGGTTAAGGTGCCTGACAGCCTGAGTTCTTTTTCTTCTTCTTTTTTTTAAATTTTTGTTTGTTTTTCAAGACAGGGTTTCTCTGTGTCAGCTCTAGCTATACTAGAACTCACAGAACTCCATCTGCCTCTGTCTCCTGAGTGCTGGGATTAAATAAATATTCCACCACTGCCCAGCAGTTTAAATTATTTGTATTAACTCATTTCTTTTATGACAGTTGGTTAAAGGACTGGAAAAGAAGAGCTGAACTGGAAGAAAGACAAAATTTGAAAGGAAAAAGAGATGAAAAACAGGAAGGTATTTTGAATTATAGTTTTTTTGTTTTTTATTCATTGGACATTTTTAGAGTTAGATTAGCTAAAATTTGCATAAATTAAGGATCCATATATTTCATATTTGATATTTTTTTATTCTTTGAGAATTCATTTTATAGTATTTATTGGCAGGAAATCTGTGGGATTTAAATCATTGCTGTGTTTCATGAGGAATAAGAGCTACCTAAGCAATTAATCATTTTATTTGTATTTGAATAATTTTCCAGATTCATGGGATACAGACTTTAAAGGCATTTCAGATGATGAAGAGTGTCATCTTTGCAACACTGTTCTGATAACAGGGCCAACAGGAGTGGGAAAGACTGCTGCTGTGTATGCTTGTGCCCAGGAGCTTGGATTTAAGGTCAGTTAGCTACAATGAATATTCAAATAAGAACAGAAAAATAAACTTGCCAGTGTTCTTGTAGTTCTAGCGTTAAACTGGTGAAGCAGAAATCCAAAGCCAGCTTGTGTTAATGAAGCCCTGTTTCTTTTCTTTATTTTATTTTATTTTTTGGTTTTTCGAGACAGGGTTTCTCTGTGAAATAGTCCTGGCTGTCTTTGAACTCGCTTTGTAGACCAGGCTGGCTTTGAACTCACAGAGATCACCCTGCCTCTGGGATTAAAGGCATGTGCCACCACTACCTGGCTAATGCCCTGTTTCAAAAAGGAGAAAAAGGTGATGGGAAGATGACTCAGTTGAAAAGGTGCTTGAGGACTAAGTTCATATTCCCCAGCACCTGTGACAAAGCTGCTAAGCAGTGCATATCTGTTGTCCCAGGGCTGGGGAGGAACAGTCAGGCAGATTGATGGAGCGTATCAGCTGGCCTCACTAGTCATGAATATCAGGTTCACCAAAAGCCCCCTTTTTCCTTCCTTCCTTCCGCCCACCCGTCCTTCCTTTCTTCCTTCCTTCCGCCCACCCATCCTTCCTTCCTTCCTTCCTTCCTTCCTTCCTTCCTTCCTTCCTTCCTTCCTTCCTTCCTTCCTTCCTTCCTTCTTCCCTTCTTTCCCTTCTTTCCCTTCTTTCCCTTCTTTTTTTGTTTTGGTTGAGACAGGGTTTCTGTGTAGACAAGGCTAACTCAGAACTCAGAGATTCACCTGCTTCTGCCTTCTTCAGTGCTAGGATTACAAGTGTGCTCCATCACCAGGGATCAAAAGACCCTTGTTTCTTAAGAAGCAAGTTGGGGAGAGATTGAGGACACCCAAGGTCATCCTCTGGCCTCCACGTGCACACACTCCCACTAGGACAGCCAGCTGCAGAGGAGAAAGCAGGTGTGATGTTTCACACTTTTAATCCTAACACTCAGGAAACCGAGGGCTGAGGCAGAAGTGCTTTTTATTTTGCATTTGAGCCCAACCTAGGCTACTGTGTGAGACCCTGTCTTGAAAAGATGAAAGGATATAAAGAAAAGATTTGCCTTTTAAAAATACATATTCTTTTTTTAGATATTTGAAGTGAATGCCTCTTCCCAGAGAAGTGGTAGACAAATCCTGTCTCAGCTGAAGGAAGCTACCCAGTCCCATCAAGTAGATAAACAAGGTGTAAACTCCCAAAAGCCCTGCTTCTTTAATAGCTACAACATTGGCAAGTCACCAAGTAAGTAACATATTCCTGTCATTTATGTGCTGAAGAACTGCGTCCCTGTCTCACTATGGATTTGACTTCTAAGTGTATTCTCATGATATCAGTCACCATAGTCTCCTTCCCCACATTTCTTATAAGCCGCTGGTTATGGACTCTAATAGATTTGTTTCTCTGGTATGACTGAAATACAGGAATGGGGGGGGGGGGGCTCGTTCTCTCTATGACATCATGAAAGAAGACCTGTTCCATGACTTGTGATTGATGAGTGAATTCAATTATTTTCTTTTATTCTGTCTCACTCATGATAAAGCTCTCTGTCATATCTTTAATGTTACTGTACAGCCATTGATTATCTTTGTATAATGGAAGATGTCTCGCTGCTTACTGATGAGTCATTTATTTCTCAGTTGTTACCTCTTTGCATCTCAATTTGAATAGTTATTGCATATATTCCAGTTTGTGGATATATTCTGCAGTATCTAAGATACTTTCAGTGCCATCAGCATAGTTTTCATTTCCAGAAGTTTCATGTGGGTCTTTTTTTCATCCTTCTGTGTTTCCAATTATGCCCTATTTTCCTGTAAATATTTGATCATGTGATTATAGCTGTCTCAATGTTCTTGTCCATATTTCTGTCATCTGTATATTTTCTGAGTTAGTTTTCAGTTTTTCCTGTCTTACTTATGGATTATATTCTGCTTCTTTTGATGCCTGATTGCCTGATGCATTAGTTTTTTCACACCATGCACATGTAGTGTCTGCAGAGGCCACAAGGGATTTGATCTCCAGAACTTTACAGTTATAGGCAGCTCTGAATTGCTGATAGGGATGTTGGGAACTGAACCTGGGTCTTCTATAAAAGTATTAAATGCTCCTTACCACTGAGTGATCTCTGATACATTTTTTTTTTTTCCAGACAGGGTTTCTCTGTGGTTTTGGAGCCTGTCCTGGAACTAGCTCTTGTAGACCAGGCTGGTCTCGAACTCACATAGATCCACCTGCCTCTGCCTCCCAAGTGCTGGGATACAGAGGGAACAAAAATAACCAGGGTTCAGTCACTCTGAGTCTGGGGGGTGGATGCCATTTTTCCATAGATCTGAGGCTCTGGGATCCTTAACATGTCTATGACCATGTCTACAATACACATTTATTCAGGACTTCACTTACTCAGGGCTTCCTCCACACCCTACAGAGGCTCAAAAGCTTGGGTCCTTTCTGAGTACCATAGAAAGACTTTCAAACAGTCAATCAGAGGAAAGTGTATATCTTTGGAAAAGAGCATCTTTTGTTGCTATGTTCTGTCATTCTGTTAGAATACATATAATACAATAATAATGTCTGTATAGAATTTTTGCATGTTAGAATGAAAAAAGTCTGCTTTTGTTTTTTATCATGTAAGATTATAAATAAACTGGATAATTTTATCTTGCCATAAATATCATTTTAGAGTGTTCTTAAGTGTAGTTTGTTTTTCATAGAAAAATTAAACTCTCCTGGGAAAGTTGTTACATCACCAAGAAAGCTTCCTCCATCATCACCAAAAGGAAGTGGTCAAAAGCGAGCGTTTCCCCCTAAAACTTTGGCAAATTACTTTAAAGTATCCTCCAAATCCAAAAATAATGAAGAAGTAGGAGTACTCATGGGAAATAATAAAGGTAAATTAAGTTAACAAAGTAAATTAACCTTGATACATGATACTGTGCATTTCATGTGATCCTCTGCTATTTATTAAGCCTCAGTCATGCTAATGGTCCTAAAAATAGAAGCGTTACTATTGAGTAAGATTTGGTATGGGAGTTCAGTTTGTGGGTATATCTAGTGCTTTTGAAAGTTGAGGTTTTTTTTTTTTTTTTTTTTTTTTGTTTTTTCGAGACAGGGTTTCCTCTGTGGTTTTGGAGCCTGTCCTGGAACTAGCTCTGTAGACCAGGCTGGTCTCGAACTCACAGAGATCCGCCTGCCTCTGCCTCCCTAGTGCTGGGATTAAAGGCGTGTGCCACCACCGCCCGGCTGAAAAGTTGAGTTTTGCCAGGTATGGTGGTGCATACCTTTAATCCCAGCATTTTGGAAGCAGAGGCAGCTTGGTTTACACAATAAAACCCTGTCGAAAGAAAGGAAGGAAGGAGGGAAGGAAGGAAGGAAGGAAGGAAGGAAGGAAGGAAGGAAGGAGAAGGAAAGAAAGAAAAAGGGCTGGAGAGATGGCTCAGAGGTTAAGAGCATTGCCTGCTCCTCTAAAGGTCCAGAGTTCGATTCCCAGCAACCACATGGTGGCTTACAACCATCTGTAATGAGATCTGGTGCCTGCATGAATGTAGGCAGAATACTGTATACACGATAAATAAATAAATTTTTAAAAAAGAAAGAAAAAAAAGTGAGTTTTACCTAAATATTAACATTGTATTTTTGCAGGAATCAAAAATGCTTCTTTGGAACAGAGGCAAATCATTCAGACTAAATCAACAAATGCAAATAATTCAAATGTTAAAGAATTTGGAGCTGAGGAATCCAATAGGAAGAATGCAACATCTCTCATTCTTTTTGAGGAGGTAGGCTTGCAGGGGCATGCATGGGTGACTTCTCATAGTGGGAACTTATTTTAAAGATTACTATGTGTTTTCTTATAAGGAATTATAAAATAATGAATCCAACTTTAGAATAATATTTATTTCTAAAGAATGTTAATTGCTTTTTAATTTTAAAGATTTATTTATTATGTATACAGTGTTTTGCCTGCATGCCAAAAGAGAACTTGAGATCTCATTATAGATGGTTGTGAGCCACAATGTGGTTTCTGGGAATTGAACTCAGGACTTCTAAAAGAGCAGCCAGTACTCTTAACTTCTGAGCCATCTCTCCAGACCTTTTGTTGTTGTTGTTGTTTGTTTGTTTGTTTTTGGATTTTTGTAACATTATCTTTGTATTATTTTATTTTATGTATCTGGATGTTATACCTTTCTGTATGTCTGTGCACGACCCTAGCAGGCCAGAGGAGGGTGTTGGGTCCCCTGGAACTGGAGTAACAGATAAATGTGAGCTGCTATGTGGGTGCTAGGAATCAAACCCAGATCCTCAGAAAGAGCAACTAATGCTCTTAACTACTAAGCCATCTCTCCAGCTCTGTCTAGAATAATTTCAAGGTGATTAACATAATTCAAGAATACTTATTTGTTTGTTTGTTTGTCCCCCCCCCCCCAGACGGGGTTTCTCTTTGTAGCTTTGGAGCCTGTCCTGGAACTCATGCTGTAGACTAGACTGGCCTTGAACTAACAGTGATCTTCCTGCCTCTGTTTCTCAAGTGCTGGGAACCACTACCCTGCAAGGCTATTGATTTTTTTTTTTTTAACAACTATAGAAGTACTTGTGGCTCATCTACCCAGTTACTGGCGATTGTTTTATTTAGTTTTTTGTTTGCTTGGGGTTTTTGTTGTTGTTGTTTG